TTTTTTTGTTTTTAGAATTTGCACATGCTTTCACCTTTAAATAGAGAAATATGTGGACAGTTCGTTTCTGTTCATTTTCACTCCACTTCCTGAATGATAATATCATATTCTAACAGTGGTTTAAATCTTCATTAGCATTCATTAAATTCTTGATAGTGTTACAAGCCCGGGAAACAAAATCATCATTTCCACACTGAGTTTAAATTGTTTTATAATAGAGAATAATTCCGTGCCGTCTCACGCAATGCTTTGAAGTTTTACTATGAATTAAATTGTCGGGGAGCGAAGCAATAATCAATATACATGTAGTTTCATTATTTGATTCAATGTCAGTGTTTTATAGAATATTTCCACTAAGCCTGGCAGAAAGTAAATGAATTATGAATGATCAAATGTAAGATCGGTTAAATTCATGTTTTATTTGGATAACAATCAATCAGTATTGATCTTTTAAAAAAAGTTATCTGCGATTCTTAATAGATGTCATGAAAATCTTTCAAATCGAAACAATCTGTTTTACTTAGTATTTTAGTTTTATTTGTTTTTTTTTTGTTGTTGTTTTTTTTTTTTTTTTGGGGGGGGGGGGGGGGCGGGGATTACAGAAAACATTAAACGATGTGTAACTTAAAAAAAGAAGATGTATTCCAATGAAATAATTATAATCAAGTGGCTGTACTTGACGAACATCCGCGGAAAATGGCTTAATTTGACGAACATTTGCGGAAAATTGTTAAACTTGTCAACATTCACGGAAAATGGGTAAACTTGCCGAATATTCGCGAAAAATGTTTGAACTTGCCGAACATCCGCGGAAATGGCTAAACTTGTCAAAAGTTCACGGAAAATGATTGATCTAGCCGAACATTCACGGAAAATGACTGATCTTGCTGAACATCCGCGGAAAATGACTAATCATGTCAAACATTCACGAAAAATGTCTGAACTTGACGAACATACGTGGAAAATGGCTAAACTTGTCAAACATTCATAAAAGTGTGATCGATTTAACGTAGTACATTCTTATTTCTTACTATGTCAATCTGTGTGTATCTGTGTGTATCTAAATATAAACTTTGATATAGAGAAAAAAATACTAAACAAACAAGACTGTCTCTAATAAAAAAAACCTTTCCTCTTTATATAAAATACCCTCAAAAGAAAAAGGTAGGTTAGAAATATTTTGGAGATATCATGTTCAGTTTCGAACCATCTCTTCTAACATTTAACTGACTTGCAGAAAAAACAGAATGTACTTTTATATGTCTTTTTGATCCTCCCGGATTACAAGATGCAATGTAGTTTGGAATATGCAGTAAGTCGTCTAATGCCCGATACATGGACGTTTTTTTTTCTACTGCTGTACTATCATGTACGGTGACATACACATGTTTACTTGAAATGGATTAAAACACATTATCTTGTATAATCGAATAAAATATTGTTATTAATTTAGTTCATATTTCATATTTCATGCAATTGACACAATAACAAAAACACGTGTGTATACTATTTTACAAAGCTGTTCTATTTTCCTCCCTCCCTAATGCACATGTACAGTAACATAATTATGTACGTGTAATTGACATCTAGCTCTATTGCGAGATAAAATATAAGAAAAATCCATTCTTGCCGAAATGCCACCTGCGTAATGTCAATTAGGTCGTCTTGAAAATAGTTCTCGGATCATTCCGCTGTTATGGATGTAAATTCAATAGAATCTGCAGAAAATACTGGTATTCCAGTATGTATCTTTCCTATACAATTAAATATTTAGTTCACGTATTGTACAGTTTTATTACAGCAAGACTAGATTATGTACGAGTAAGAACGAGCCGTCTGAAAGTCATGAAACATCAGAGAGAAATGATCGGTTTTACTGGAAATCACACTAATTTGACTGTGTAAGAAGGAAAGCACATGATATAGATATATAAAAGTGTAAAAACTTTAGAAAATGTATCTTAAAGTTTCGACAACTGTACATATTGCTCTATGTAAAAGTGAGAATCCTTGGGCAGATGAAATATCACTTCAGGGTGACCAAATTATATATTACAGGGATCAATTAGTACTATGGCATTGATCACTTTGAGCTTGACGACCTCATTGAGGCGGTTAATATTTGACTGCTCTTGTTGTTCGTTCTATTGTCACGTTCAGACAAAACGTTTACTTGTGGACTATGCTCTTGGAACAACCATTGTCATATCTTTATATTGTGATTGTAATTTTAAGTTTAGATATTGTCCCGATGAGGAGTGAATTATTGTGCACTGGCTTTTTTTGTCACTTACATCAGAAACATTCATTAAAGATTAATCTATAGAATGATAGTATTTACATAACTATTTTCTCAGTTTCGTCAAGAAAGTCTATTGAAGGATCATGCATATGTGACAATACCGGGTACTTTACTTTACAGGGTTCTAGCCAAGAATTTTTGAAGGCATGTAGCACAAATAATTTGCCAGGCAATTTGCTCGGCTTGTATTATTGACAGCTCATAGGGAAAGGGAGAATACTTAATATGACATTTTTGTCTTTTTTAGCCGGAACTTCCACTGGAAGATCATGCGGAGAGGGCAATCAGTTCTGTTTGCTGTCGCCCTGGTAGGGTCTCTTGCTCACTTGCCATTATGAAGCGTGCCTTTGTCCCCGGGGAGATTCTCCGTGCAGATATACATGTCCAAAATTCATCCATCCGTAAATCCAGCATTGTTAGCCTACAACTCAAACAGGTACTTATATATATATGTGTGTGTAAATGAAAATCTAGTCATTTCTCTTAATATATAAACTTTTAGAAGATTGATTAACAAACAGGACTTTCTTATTTCAATTTCATAGATGATAAGTTTTATATTTCGGTGAACATATAAAATCAGTAATTATAGATGTTGGTGAGAATTTGTCATAGAAATTTGATATTCAGTAATGTTAAGTTTTGTATTTCATTGGAAATTTGAATTGCTATATGAAGTGTAAAAATTGAAAATTACAGATAATGCCTTAAGCATTTAGATGAAAACTTGGCATGGATACTGCATGGATACTGAATGTTTACAGATATTCGATCGGTTACGTATTTAGGTGAAACGTTAAATGGACATTATATAGATGTTCGATTATGTATTGTGGTATATATTTGCCGTGCAAACTATACAATGTTTTTATATTTTTTCTGGTTCATCGAGATCACTGATTTCAACACTTTTAAGTGTTGAGAATTGAGTACCACTCAAGATGGTGCTAGTTGGCATAAGGGATGTTGCACTTTTCAATATCCCACATGTACAGACTTAATTAAATATGCAATTTTCATGTACATTTGTTGTGATTACTGCTTCCTTGGGATCACACTGTATCCAGATTGTTTAAATGTTTATAGATGTTGATATATGGTGGCGTACACAGTCGAACGTTATTGCTGTGTAATGAGAAGGTGTGTGAGAGTTTACGACCAGGTCAGCATAGATTGTGGAGCAATTTCCCCCTTCGTTTGCCATCTACATGCCCATCGAAACTTTACATGTGCAAGGTGCTTGATGTAAAATATTGCATTGCCGTAAGTGATCTTAAATTCATTATTGTTTCACTGTATTTCATTACAAAATATTTGCACAAGGTTTGACATTTACATTATAGTGCTTGTCCAATTCCGTTTACTAATTTTAGCTTAATTAAGTGACTTGGATATTCGCCTCATCAACAGTACTTGTATATCCTGGTTTAATCAAAATTACTAAATTTATTGAACTCGTTGAATGAAATATTATGCCCGTCTCTGGCGAACATTATATAATTTTATTCAACGAGGTCAATATATTCAGTTTATTGACCTACACTTATTCCATTTCCTTTATAAAAAGGCTTTTGCTTTGCTTTTTGTATATTATTCTTATTTCCCTTAAAATTGTGATACAATTTTTTTTACAAATATAGGATTTATTTTCATCGAATGGTACAAAAATAAATATTTCAAGAGTGGTGGTAGCCGCGAGTGAAATATTATAATTTTCATACCACAAGATGAAAATATATAGCCTGTATGTACAGAAAAAAATAATTAATTTTCTGTTTATTATAAGCATGTTTCCCTTTTTTGACATTACAATTTGAAAGACTTCCCCCTTTATTTTTTTACTGGCTGAATTCAGAAGAAAGTAGTCCGGCAAGACACTAGTGAAAATACGGAAAATATGTTTCACTGCAGTGAAAAATAAATTTTTACAGTGAAAATACGGAAAATGAAAATACGCATTTTATTTCATCATTATTTCTCAATATTTCATTTATAAGAATATAATAAAAGTAAGTATACAACGCTCGTTATTTGTCCCAGTTTTCTTGTAAAACTAAAGTTACGTTGCATATCGTCTGGAGAGATATAAATGTGAGACTTTACGAATGTTTACGAGACTTTACGAGAATTAATTGGATAAAGAAGCTATACCATGTTTTCTATGATCACTGCAGATAGAGGCCACATTTCCAGATACAGTTCTGTACGCCGCAGTGCCTGTAACTATAGCAACCGTACCAGAAACATCCTGCTGTCCTTTTAAGTGGATCTATAAGTGTGAGTATAACCTCGAGGCATTTTGCTCATTTTCTTAAATTGCCATCTCTTGTCGTCGTTTCGACCTCCTTCATTTGCCCAAGAACAACAATATCTCGTAACAATATAGTTCTATGGCAAAAAAATACAACATTACCAATACACTTAATTATATATTTACACTAATATCCATACACGTAACAATATAGTTCTATGTCAAAGAACAATAAATAGAGGGGTTTTGCATCTTTTTGTCGTGCAGTAACATATGTAAAGGTCACGAAGACGGATATAAGAGGCAGGAGAACTTCTGCAGGTGTCAATGCACGAAAAATATGTGCACTAATAAAAGTATAATTTTACGTTTCCTTATCTGTTTCTCATATACAGATACCATTTTCTTGTGGTTTCCACGTGCTAGTGCGTTATGTTTTGATAATGAAACTTCCGGGATCATGATTTCAGTAAGCTATTTTTGATGTATTACTTTGACGAATTCAAAACCCCGATTAGATAGATAATAGATGCTCTTTTTTCCATTTCAGTAAGTGAGAGACCAATTATAAGTGAAGATGAAAATGTAGACTCTTTTATACATGGCTGTTCTAAAAATATAGACATGGAATTTAGACCTATGTATAAATATTACGAGGATCTTAAAGACTATAGGAAAGACAGAGAAACAGTTTTACGTCTCCGACAAAGTCCCGGCGTAAAACGTCGTCGTGAAAAAGCCAAATGTTTGCCGGCGGCTAAAGCCACAGTAGTAAAACTCTTGCCAGACGAGAGCGTCCATTATAACTCATTTGCATGAAGCATTCTTGATATATTCCATTTGTCATTAACCGAATCGGCGTATTTCGCAATTTTCCGTAGCTTGTATCTATTGAGAAAGCGCTGAAGTGATCTAGATTTTCAGTTGCTCTATGTCAGCGTTGGTGTTCTATAGACAAGTTGACTGATGACATCACATTCAAGATATGACACGGAAACGAACGAAATGTTCCGAAATAGCACAAGCTATTGACGGATGGATGTTCTTATAATGATACATCATTGAAAACGTCTGTGCAATGTGAGATATGCCAAAGATCAAAATATGTAGCGGTGACATCATTTGCGTGACTTTTTTTTACAATTATTAACAGTCATTATAATTATATTTCGGTTAGATTTTATATCGATTTGTTCGTTAATTTATTTGTTTATTAGTTGTTTATTTGTTTTCTTCTTTATTGTGGGAATAAACTGTCACAGCGATTTCCTAGACTTTTGGTTACATTGTCAGAGTTTGACGATGTTTTACAATTTGTGATTTACGAATTCAGTTTAAAAAAAGTAGTATACATGTAAAAAGATATAGCAAAACCTACTTTGGTTTTCTGTATTAATAAGTAAATTTTTGATAAGTTTAGATGAGCATTTTTTATATTTTGTGATTTGCGAATTCAGTTTTTTTTTTTAAAAGTAGTATACAAGTTAAAAGATAAAGCAAAACCTACTTTGGTTTTCTGTATTAATACGTAAATTAGCGGTAAGTTTAGTTGAGTTCTTTTCATTAGTGCGTTTTCTAAAGTGAAGCAGCTCGGAGGTTTTGAGTACAATCAGTGCATTGGTAAATCCAAGTTAACATTTTGACATATCAGAAAAAAACTACAATATTTCATTTCTATGTACTACTTGTAATAAATAACAAAGGTGGTATTTTGTTGTTGTTTTTTTTTTGTTCACAGTCGCAATATTTGTAAAAAGGTGTAGTTATATATTTTGCAATTCAGCATCTTTTTAATATACTTATGCAGTGTAGCTATTCTTAAAGGGACTCCACTGAGGTTTGAAAGCCTAAAACCGTAACATTTGAATTTCTAACATAAATGAGCTGAGGCTCTTTAAACAGAAATATATGCAAAGATAGTTAAGAAATATATTTTAAAATAAATTGAAATATCGTAGTTTTATGCCTTTTTTTAGCCCGATTTGAGTGAAAAACGTTTAACGCTTTTCATTTTGGGTCATTTTTTAACAATTTGAATAATTATTTTGGAAAAACGAAATGATCTGAAATTTTGCACAAAGAATAGTATTAGTTGTCTAACCCTACACCAAATGGTACATTTATGCTGCCCTCACACATAAACCACGACCTTACTGCGACCTGAAAACTAGTAAAATAGCATTTTTCTTTCGAAAATCGTTGGTTTTCTTTCAAATTTCCAAATTTCTCTCGCAGAAAATTTCTCTCGCAGACGGTCCGGGGCTCTGCAGTCTTGTGTTCAGTACGTTCTCAATACGACCCTTCTACGTCCATGGCGTTTCCACTGCGACTGTATTGCGTCCCCAAGGCGACCCATCGGCGATCATCGGCGACCAAGCTGCGACTGTGCTATGTTCTCTGCGTCTTTACGGCGACTCTACGACGACTATTGCGTTTGTCCGGCGACTGTCCTGCGACTGTACGACGACACTACTACGTTCTTGCGACCTAACCAGGACTCAGCAAGAACGCAGAGTTTCTGCGACTGTTTTGTGCATGTTCAAAATAGTCGCCGACGGTCTGCGACCTTGTGCGTCCTTGGGATCCTCGCTACGACCTCGCTGCGTCCCTGCTGCGTCCATGGCGACTGTGCTGCGTCCTGGGTCGTAGCAAGGTCGCAGTAAGGACGCAGTAAGGTCGCGAGGTATGTGTGAGGGCAGTATTATCTTGAACCCATCATGTCAAAAAAACCTCAGTTGAGTCCCTTTAAGTTATACCACGGCTATTACTTAAGCCATGTCAGTATTTTCAAATTGTTATCAAATTTGAGCATAGTATATTTTTCAGCTGTGGTTACACTATAGAAACTAATTTAATGCAGTTCTTTTAATTTCATTATTTTCTTTTCGAAAAAGATTCCTACATGTTTACGTGTTTTTGTTGTTTTATTCTTTTATATTTTTTTTTCAAAAGCTTTGCTAAATTATTACAAAGGCCTTAAGTCTTATATATTTTACATATAACACGCTATTTTGCCCTTTTATTGCAAATAAAATCTATCAAATGACAACTTTTCTTTAAAATATTGCCATTTGAAAAAAATCAGTTTGCTTAAAACCACCATACGTGTTCCATACATATTTATTAAAGGCACATTATGTCCCATATACGAATAATTTTTTCCTACTTTTAAAATAGTGAAATAAAGGTTTTAGAGTCCGTTAGATGATTTCCACTTAAAGAAAGTAGCACTAAAATGTGAAATTATTTGTCATAAAAGTAGGAAAAAAATAGTTTAAATAATCTGTAATTGATTGAAAATATAATTTTTTTCTTTCTTATAGAAATAAAAATACCAGCATTTCTGAGGCGTAATGGGCCTTTAATCTGCTAAAATTTTATATCTGATTTTGTATGTATATTCTTCTAATGATTTTACACATTGCAATTGAGCTACGGCAAAAGCTTATTCTTATGCTTGTAAAGTATCTTATCTTAATCTAATTTCATACATGTATATTTAAATCTCTGTTGCGATTACATTTGATTTTGTAATAAGTGTATTCTCTGATGAACTAATAAAACGATTATACAATGAATTTGTCTTTTGTAAAAAATTAACTTCATTGATTCTGGACTTGGTTTTGTTTTTGTACCCAATCTGCCTTTCCCGGCCAATCACAATCACGCATGCGCATGGATACAAACTATCGGGTCAGACGTTGCTATAGATTTTCCCATACACTTTCATAATAAGATACCGTCCATAATACCGATTTATCCTGATGCTGTGTTGTTTCTATGGCAAAAGTACATGTATGCTTGATACGTACAAAATCATCCTTGAATTTAGGCGTGACCATTTAATTGTTTTTTGTTGTTGTTTTTTGGGGTTTTTTTTTTACATGCAATGTTTCCACAAACATTTTTTACAGAAATTCAGTGCTGATGAAGGGACTTACAGGTGTTGTGTTTTAAGTGAACCATTCTAGTAGACACTTTAAAAAGTATATAACCTAGATACTAGCTTTAGTCTAGCTGGTCGGTTTTGCTACTTTTCACATCGGATCTCGACATTAAGCCACACTGAATTAACCAGAACACATTTCAGCCACCGCATCGTTCCTTAGCAGGCCGTAAAACAGTTAACCAGTATGCAAGGAACTGAAACACCTGTGCATGCCAGAGCAGAGGTACAGAGCGAATGACTGAATAAAAGATTTCATGATCAATCACAAAGAAAGTGACCTGTACCATCCGTGAATCGAACCCGGATCGCCCGATTCACAGTCCAACGCTCTACCTATTGAGCTAACAGGACGGCTTAGCTTTACGTCGCCCTAATTCCAGAGTGTCGTAACTCCAATTTTGAAAAAAATGAGTGTTTGGTATCAAAATGTTCGTAATTTTTTGCTCTATCTAATGGTAAGAACAACATCACTCTGGTTCATGTCTGTAACAATATATTGAATGGGTCAGAGTGCTGTAAGTCCAAAAATTGTGATAAAAATACAGTCCATAATATCGTAACTTCTGAACCAATAGTTTGTTAAGATTCTAGTCACGTGATGCTGTATTGACAAAATGGCAGATTTTTCAAGGTATCGGGAATGACATTTTACGTTTTATATTTCTTGATAACATGTAAGTGTTTTGCTTCAGATGTTATCTACTGTATTCCTAGAAATGTTCGCGGATACAATATTACGCGTTTTTCACAACGTCGGCATTTTCGCGGAGACAAACTTTCGCGGATATGTAGTAACCGCGAATTCCGCGAATGTTAAGTCGCTACGGCCTATATTACAGTTTTTGGAGGCTACGTTTTTGATGCATGACCTTGCCTGTTGGGTGTTTTTCATTATTTTATTTTTTGACAAGTCGCGCCTAAAGCGCAACGTTACTCGATACATTTTCATCTATTGACTACTTTAATGTTTCCTTACCTTTTTCATTATGTGATTAAGTAAGATTTAGTCAGACCCGTTAGCTTTTATTCTCATTTGAATCATAACTGACTTTTTCTTCAAAATGTCGATACGTATTTTTTACACATTATCGGACTGTACATCGCTTTCATTATAACAAAATAACAGCTGTTTATCAATGTAACACTTGATCGCTATTGTACTTTTAACAAAGGATTACACCTACTCCAAGCAAATAAAATCCAAGTCATTCAATGTTCACAAACTGTAAATGCGTTTGTCAACGCCGTGACTAACCGTCAATAAGCATGATAATTACTAATAATTGATATTTTCTTTTTCAGCGTGCAAACTAGTATCAATAACATACATAAATAATTCTTTACACATTTCTATAGCATCTGTGTTTATATGTTGTTTTTTTTGTGTAAGTAGATTATAATAAATATTCTGCACGTTTTATGTTATATTTGGTTGAAGCTAGAAATGTTCGCGGATTTGTTATAAGTGACATATTCGCGGCTATAAAGATTCGCGGAATCATGTCTACCGCGAAAACCGCTAACTTAAAATGCGCGAAATCTTTTCTAGGAATACAGTAATTATCTATAGCTTAATATTTTAATAAACTGTTTCAAACCTTAAAAATAAATAATAACTACTCTTAACACTTTAGCTAAATTCAAAGCACCATGCTGTTTTATGAAATTCGGATAGCATGGAAATCGGATAAAATGATACAAACTTTCAATATTCACAAGTATCAGCTGTTCATAACTTGATATGTGAATGATTATATGATTGATTGATCAATGCTATAACTTGTACATATTCAGATTAAATACGTACAATTAGGTTTTGCATTAGATTGTTTATAACTTTTAACTTACAAACAAAAACTTATCAAATGGGAAACATACTACTGCCATTGTTACATTTTGTCTTTAACTATATAAGACAAATTACCGTACTGGTGCTAAGTGATTCGAATAAAATTTACACATATAACTTAACAACTCATAACTGATGTTAAATTAGGTGGTGTTTACTTCATGATTATTTCATAACTCATAATTCCATTATTTTCATAATTTCAAAATAATGCACTTCATATAACGATCACAAAAATATGAAAAGTTTTGCTGTCCAAGGCATTATGAAATCTAGACTGGTTAACAATACCCACTATCATATTAAAAAGAAAGACAAAAACACTTTTAAAATGTTCAGTCCTACATCACTCGTTTGTGTTCTTAAAACAGTACATCCAAACGTCAAAGGCTATATGGTGGGTTAAAGTTGACAATATCCTATAACAAAAGTTTAAAAGCTGAGAGGTGTCTCAGATGCACCATTTAGCGTTGAATAAGAGACGTCATTTGCACAACAAATACTTATTAAACAAAATGCCACCTTCTCAGCTATTTTGCATAAATCAACAGGGTGTCAGTCTATACCTTTTTGTCAACATAATCATGTTCAATCTTATGCTGAAATTTATTATGTAATTGGAACATGCAAAGCAAAATTAATCTAAGTTTCTAAGTTAAAAATAATTCTTGTACATCTACTTCCAACTCGTAAGGTAATACTACCTGTAATTATCAAGTGATTTGAACCATTGAACTGAAAATTATCCATTACAAAAACTATTTTTTAAAAAGAAAAAAATGTGTGGTTAAAAATTTTCATTCGATTGAAACGTAAAAAAGAACGATTTTGTGAAGAAATGTTACAAAGTCTTAAGACCATAATATAAAACATTAAGAACTCTTTAATTTTTTTATATTGTCATATTTGTTTCATCAAACGTTTGTTGAGGTAAAATATAATTAATATTTGTCTGAAACTCTTAGATATTGAGCATTGTTTTTATACGAATGAGTTATTGATGTTAACAGTTCAGATAAAAACATTAAAAGCAAACGTATACTTAATTGTTATTGTATGTAAAGAAGTTGTATGCCACTTTATATATAAATACATGTAGTAATTAAAGTACAGTAGTTCATTGAAACACCTATACCAGCTATAACCTATATACAAGCTATAACCAGCTATTATCTATATACCAGTTTTATTTATACACTAGCTATGACCTATATACTAGCTATAACCTAGATATCAGCTTTAACCTGTATACCAGCTATATACTATATTGCCTACATACCAGCTTTTACCTATAAACCAGCTATGATATATATACTGGCT